ATCTCAGGGGGTGCACATGCACCCGCGTGCACCCCCTATGTGTTGCCAATGCCCACACACTTTCTAAGCCTGCCCACGGTCTAAAAAAACCCAGAATAGCAAATGGTTATTGCCCACACACTTTCTAAGCCTGCCCACACTGGGAGAGCTTATACATGAGCATGGAGGCTGCTCCAATGCGTTGGAATTCCAGCGCATTAGAGCGGACTTTAATTAAAGCGCCTCCCACCCCAACCCCACAGCCTGTGTAAAAGTGCCCTACGTGTGTTTACACATACATTAAAGAGCTTTTTCTACTGTGCATTAGCATATTAGCATGGCTTTTTACACGCCACTTTAATGAGTAGTACTATAGACTACTGCACATTAAAGTGCACATGTAGACACATCCACTGTTTCTAAGGCTGGATAATTCTAGATGGATTGTCTCCTGCTCCCATTCATGTTAACAGCCCAAATTAATACCAAGAATCCTGGAAAACATTGTTATCATTGTAGCCAAAAAAAATTAAGATAGGTAGAGAGAACAGAGCTACGGACATAAAAAGGAAGTGAAACAAGGAAAGTTTTCACATTGCAGATTCTAGGGTATTTATCAAGAGGTCAGAATCTTGTTGAAGCCTCTTCTTGCTCTCCAGATGTTGCCAGCTGCATGGTTGTGCAATCCAATTAGAATTCTAGACCTTTGATTTATGTCTCAGGGAAACACCGGTCAAGTTGGCTGAAGAATCTAAAGTAAATGATTTTAAAGAGGAATGTGAGTCCTGTAAGACACTGACTTTATTTTAGAAATATAAGAAAAGGTACAATTCAGAAAAGATCTGTTTAAAGGATGAAAATTGGTGAACAACACATGCTTCTTTACTACTGTAAACAACGATCTATATACAATAAAACACCTTCCCTAATGCAGCTTTGTGACGCTACTGCTTTAATAAAGAGATAAGGATAAGCAAGGACTTTTATGATGTTGAAATAGGTAGGACATGATATAAACAAAGAAGGTTCTTAGTTCAAGAGTCTAATTATAAAAGTATATTTCTATTTAATCCTTTCCAACAATTTAAGGAACTAAGAATAATTAATCTCATAAATGATCCAATAGATGATTTTCTCTTTATTTTTTCCTTTCTTTTCTCTCTGTAGTTACCCTGGCTGGATGCACAGCAGAGGAAAGCATAAACAACTCTAAATGTATTTCAGCTTTAGGACAGAAGGTGCCCATGCAATATCCTGTGTACTTAAGTGGGTCTGAGCTCTCAGGAAGGATGCAGTTTTGCTGTGAATCTGTAAATGGCTCTTGCATAAAGAGCAGCTGGTCAAACAGCATTCGAATTTCCATGTATATCCTCATGGTGTGCATCATTCTTGCCACTGTAGCTGGAAACCTGACTGTTATCATCTCAATATCACACTTTAAGCAGCTCCATACACCTACGAATTTCCTGATCCTTTCCATGGCCGCTGTTGATTTCTTGTTGGGATGTTTCATCATGCCTTACAGTATGGTGCGCTCTGTTGAACACTGCTGGTACTTTGGAGAACTCTTCTGCAAAATCCATACTAGCACTGATATCATGTTGAGTACAGCCTCCATTTTCCATCTCTCCTTCATTTCTGTTGATCGCTACTATGCTGTGTGTGACCCACTGAGATACAAATCGAAGATAAATACTTTCATCATACTGGTCATGATCTTCATTAGTTGGACCATCCCTGCTATTTTTGCCTTTGTTATGATCTTTCTGGAACTAAACGTAAGAGGAGCCGAAGAGATTTTCTATAATCACATCCATTGCGTAGGAGGCTGCTTTGTCTTTTTTAGTGAAACATCAGGTGTGATAGCCTCCATGTTTTCCTTCTACATCCCTGGATTTGTTATGTTATGTGTCTATGGGAAAATATATGCCATAGCAAAGAGGCAGGCAAGATCTATTAAAGATGCAAGTAGCCAAACTCAGATCCGACTTGAAATGAAGCACCACATTTCACGAAGCAGAGAAAGAAAAGCTGCAAAGACCTTAGGCATAGTGATGGGAGTTTTTCTTTTATGTTGGACTCCATTTTTTTTCTGTACTGCCAC